CAGCAACAGCAGCAGCAACAGCAGCAACAGCAGCAGCAGCAGCAACAGCAGCAGCAGCAACAACAGCAGCAGCAGCAGCAGCAGCCGATGCTGCCAGCGTGGTCGTCCTGCGTGGTTCTCAAGGGGTCTCAGATTCCAGCTGGGCTCTGCAGGACTCTGGCGGGTTCCTCCTCCACCACCTCCTCCACCACCTCCTCCACCTCCTCCACCACCTCCTCCACCTCCACCACCGTCTCCACCACCTCCTCCTCCACCACCTCCTCCACCTCCTCCACCTCCTCGTCGCACTACTGCCGCTGGTGCTCACCGGCCTCCCCGAGGACGGCTGCTGCTAAGAGGAGCAAAGCGATCTTGCGCGAGAGACGCCGGGTGAGAGGCCACGATCCCCTAGGTTGACTCGGACTAAAATCAAACTTGGGGGGGGGGTGACATGGTTCAGCGGTGGCACGTTCGAGATTCGGTTCGGATCTCGCAGGTCACCCCGGCCATTACTGCGGCCATTGTGGTTGCGGACACGGCATGGCCCAAATCAGCGACATTGTAAACACCGGCGCTGTCCCTGTATCAATGGGGATTGCAGCTGCCAGCGGCAGTCTCCTCCCTACTGGCCCGACTGCAGCCCAGGTGTCACGTGGTGACAGCTGCCGCTGGGGGAGGTGGCGGGTGCCCTTTCAAATGTGTAAAGTCGCTTGTCGTCACGTTGAAGAGATGTGCAAATCAAATTGTTGTTTAACTTAAAACTCGGATCCATCCATCCGTCCGTGTGTCCATCCTCCCACGTGCCCGTCTCTCTCGCGTTCCGCTAATCTGTCCGAGTGTGGGTGCTTTGAGAGACTTCGCGTGATCGTGACCTGCGGTTTGGTCGTTGTTGAACGCGGTACGGGGTGACCAGAGGTCGCAACCGGGTACCCGATACCCTACCCGATACCCGGCTACCCGTACCCGGCCGGGTGAGGGTACGGGTACCCGTTTGCGACCCTGGTGCGGCCGGGTACGGGTACGGGTAAGGAATCAAAACCCGTTTGCGACCTCTGGAGGTGACACGAGACAGTTGAGTTTGGTAGAGCCGAGTCCTCGCCACGGGGGGGGGGGGGGGGGGGGGGCAGAACGAGTGACATTCACGGCAACGAGAACCACGCTGGCGGCAAAAGAAGTGCGATCGGGAGGCGACTGACCACCAGCGAGTGAACGGAGTGAATCGGTGATCACCGGATCGCCGCTTGAACCCTCGTTGCTGCTTCGCTCTGAGCGCCTCGCCCCCGGCTTGACCGCGTGTCCGTGCGTGTCCGTCCGTGCGTGCCCGTGTGCCCTCAGGTGCGTAACCTGAAGCGCATGTTCCAGCGCCTGCGTCAGCTGGTGCCGCTGGAGCTTTCGCACCGCCGCCCGTCGAACGCGGAGACGCTGCGAGCGACGCTCCGCTACGTGCGCCTGCTGCAGGCCGTGCTGGCGGAGACCCCCATGGCGAGCAGCTCCTCCACGTGACGCGGGAGGGGGGGGAGCGGTAATTGACCGACGCCGAAATGCAGCACCCACCCACTGGGCCAGATGCAGGTGCGTGCGAGTACGATGCCAACCGCGCTGATGCGGGAGCAGGGGGTGGGAGGGGGGGAAGGACAAAAACGGTTGTGAATAGATTCGTTTTCAATTTGGATGGTCGTTTCAAAAAGTGCGCGGCTCCCGTGGTGAGCGTTCCAGGCGGCTGCGGAAGTGCGTCTGAAAGCGCCGCGACGATGACGACGATGATGATGATGACAATGACGATGATGACGACGATGATGACGATGATGACGACGACGACGACGATGATGACGACGATGACGATGATGACGATGATGACGATAACGATGACGATGATGACGATGATGATGATGCGGCGACCGCCGTCTTTGTTTGATTGATAGCCCCTGAAGCCGCCGCTGCTGCTGCTGCTGAGAGGATGAGCCGGAGTCTGCGTGGTGCGGCTGCCCGTCCACGCGGGTGTCACCTGCAACGGGGGCAGGGCCCAAAGGTCACGAGGTCGTGGCGGCCAATGCCAATCACCGCACCCTCGCCGATGCCTCCTTCCCTCTGCCGGATCCGACAGCCGACGCGTCCGTGCGGTGACACCGCCGAAGCCAACCGCCTTTCGCGCAAACGACGGCCGCCGGACGTGAAACACGAGCGGTGTGGACGGACAGACTTGTCGACCTTCGTTAAGCAATACGAAACATGTGCAAAAACGTCGCCGAGCCTTTGTTTTGTGTATCCAGCACGATTACACGTGCACGCATGTGCACATCGACCGCCCACGTACTCGCTGGGTGGTAGGCAGAGGTCACAACCGGGTACCCGATACCCGTACCCTACCCGATACCCAGCTACGGGTAGCCGTTTGCGACCCTGGTGCGGCCGAGTACGGGTACGGGTAGGCCGTGAATCACTGGTGAGTAACCGTTTGTCACTCATTTCCAACGTCTTGTCTCTTCTCACAGTTCAAGTTCCTAGAATCAACCCACCCGTGCCTGCAACATGGCTTCATCCCAGAGGTCGCAATCAGGTACCCGATACCCGTACCCTACTCGTACCCGGCCGGGTACGGGTAGCCGGGTATCGGGTACGAGTACGGGTACCCGTTTGTGACCCTGGTACGGGTAGGGTACGGGTACGAGGGGTAAGGAATCAAAACTCGTTTGCGACCCTGGTGGTAGGTGGCTAGGAGTTGGTCGGAATGCTCTAAAGCCCTCGCTCTGAGCTCCCAGGCCTGCCACGCAGTGGCGTGGGCACCGTGACGGGTCTTTGACTTCTGTTGAGTGCACGATGCCGCCCCCCGTTGTGTTTATCTCGTTTGCTTCAGCGCCGTCGCGATGGTTTGGAGTTGTGAGTGCACCGCTGAACTGTCCTCTAGTTTGCCGTTTAAGTTGTGTTCCTTAAATGTTTTATTTCGATTTAAAGCTTTCGTGACTGCAGGGATTCATCTTCTTGGTTCTTTCGGTAAAGTCGTCACGTAGAAGGGAAATAATAAAATAATAAAATAAACATAATAAAATAATTCTCACGACGTTTCGGCCACAACGCAAGCAGCCGTCCTCAGGTGAAAACCAGGTCTGTCGGAAAGACAGCGTCTGAATGAAACACCACCAGGCTTGGAGCGTATATTTAAGCTGGGTTGGAGGGGGAAGAGCGCCTTGACAAAATAAAATTACTGGGGGCCTCACAGTACCTGTCGCCCAGGGGCTACTGGGGGGGGGGGGTGTGGGGGCTGTTCTTCTAAGGGCACGGGAAGGGTGCGGGTCAAGAGGTCACGTGGGGCGCAGTCACGTGTCTACCCCACCTGGCAATCTTCCCATCAGCATCAGGGCCCCTGACTTCTCATCGTGAACTGTCGGGGCCCGCCACGACTCTACGGACACTGCCTCTCCTCCCTCTCTCTCTCTCTCTGGTAGAGTTGGAGGGGGTGGGGGTGGCTTCAGGACGACCGCAATCCTTTGCAGGACAATGTAATGACTGTGCAGGCGTTACGTTGAGTTTGGTCAGGGCAGCACGGCGATGAGGGATGATAACCGATGGACGCAGATGGAGCGATAAGATCGGAGCTCATGGGCAGAAAAACCTCGGTGGCTTTTTGGCATCTCAGCTATGATTGAAGGGAGGCTTTGAGCCAGCAGTGGGTAGAGCATAGCTGATGGCATATTTGCGGATTTCGATTCGCTCTAAACTGCTGAGGAATTTTGAACGCGTATCCATTTTATGCAACTTTTATTTAAAGGTTTCAACAGTCAACACGTAACCAAACGTGGTAATTACAAAACCACATTTTACATTCCAAAAGAAGTCATTAACCAGTCCCCCAGTAGTTGACATTGGAGGTGCATTACGCTCTGCTCCAGAAATGTTTCTCTCAAAATCTTAACAACGAAATATTTTTGTTATTTTTGTTTTCACTTTTCCGGGAACCATTTTGACAAACCACATCCTCATTTATCCTTATTGGTCCTTATTTTGTCCAACGATATTTTTGTATAAAGCTCTCATCGGATTGATTGTAAGGATATATGGGTGCAATAAACATAGTGATGGAATAAAATAAACAAATAGGATTTACCCTTTCTGAGGTGTTAAGAGGTTCAAACACCAAATGGACCCCTATCACAAGGCATCCAGTCTGCACTAACCACACAGACTTGCGGTAAACCGTTGAAACAAATATACTTCGGTAATGTATGCATCGTCCTTTAAACCGATTGGCCTATACAACAACATGGATTCTTATGATGAGTGTATCACGTTCGAGTTGCGGTGCCTTCTGCTCATAATTCCTAACTCCAAGCCAGCACAGTAACATTCTGTTAAACATCGAGAGGCCTGGTCGTAGGAGAGACTGTGAACACTGCTGAAATATTCTCTCTTCACGTGAATCAACATCCAAATCGGAGACTTTTGTAGCATTTTAGCTGTCACAGTGTTCGCTGTTCGTAACGACACCGTACTCTTCTGCACCTCACGGCAGGGCAAATTGTCTGAAATGTTCAGCGGTTAAGGTTTCAGTCGTGAGGGAGTGTCTGTTAATATTTTCGGCTTATTAAAGTTATTCACTGTTCTTGGTTCTTTCGGTAAAGTCACGTAGAAGGGAAATAATAAAATAAAAAAATAAAACATGTTTTATTTTTATTTTATGAAAAATGTAATAATAAAAAAATATAAAAAATAAAGCATAAATGTTTTCTATTTATTTATTTTATTATTTCCCTTCTACGTGACTTTCCCGAAAGAACCAAGAAGATGAATCCCTGCAGTCACGAAAGTCACCTAGAAGGGAAATAATAAAATAAAACATAAAAAAGTAATATAATAATATATTTCATTATGCTTAATTTCTAATATTTTCTTATTTTTATTATTTATAATAATATATTTTATTATATTTTTATTATTTTGTTATTTCCATTCTACGTGACTTTACCGAAAGAACCAAGAAGATGGACGTCCTCAAAGGCCCTTCCCCCCATCTTGTTCGACCACGTTCAGTCCGCCGCCGCCGCCGTCGCCGCGTGCATTCTCACCGACCCTCCTGGCGACGCTCCCTTTGCGCAAACCCCCAGCAGCATCTCCAGCTGCCTCTCCAACCTCCTCGCCCGCTTCGTCTCGTTCCCCCCACGCTGCCTGCGCCCTTCCCGCTGCCGCCGCCGCCGCCTCGCGGCACCGGCCAGAAGCTTCCAGATGTAGGCGGCCTCCTTCGTGTCGTGGTGGGCCAGGCACGGCAGAATCAGGTGACGGACGCTGTCCACGAATCGCAGGGTCGCGTCCACGCACGCGTACTCCGGCTGGGGCGGCGGGTTAGACGGTGGAGGCTCGGCACCATCTTCCCCTGCGGAGGGAAGAGAGGTGACGCGTCTTGCTACCGGCATACGACGTTTCAATTGCAACACAAGCAATCGTCATCAGGTGTAAATGAAATGAAATGACCCAGTGTGGCATCCACTGCCCTCCGAAGCCAGCAGCTGCTTCTCCGACTATGCCATCGATCTACGGTTGCCGCTAAAACGATACGTCCGTATGAAACACGTGAACGAGAGAGCGGTCATCGCAAGCGGCTCACCTGCCGGCCTCGCGTCGCCATGCTCCCGACTCCGCACGGACGCCCGTCGCTCGTGGCAGGACCAGCAGAGCGCGTCGTGCGTGGAGGCTCCGGGCAGCAGCTGCACGGAGCCCGGAGTGAAGCAGTTTGTGTGCGGGCGGCACGTGGCATTCGCCGATACCTCCGGGGAGAAGAATCCCCAAGGGCACGGGGCGCAGTGCGTGTCTTCGTGCGGGGATCCTGCGGTGCCGAGAAGAGCGTGAGATGGGGGTGCACGGGCAGACAGAGAGAGAGAATGTAGAGATGCGTAGAGAGAGAGAGAAAGATGAGAAGAGAATAGGCATTGATTGGCGCTGGGAGATGGCTGGGAGATAGCTGGGCGATGGGAAAGTGGTGATAAGATTCCCCGGCTTGACGACTAAAAACATTTACAAATGACACATTTATAAATAACGCGACCTAACCTAAAAACCTTTATTATGAACAAATGAATGATCATCAGACGGATGCATGTAGAAACCAATTAATGTCCGAGTGGGGTAGAAAGCTCGTGCTGGGCACGCAGAAGCTCTGTCCCGATGGGCAACTGGTGATTGGAGCCAACAGAACAAATGAAATAATGCGCAAATGATTTCACCTCTCCACGAATGAATAGGTCATGTGCACTCGCGCCTTTAGCGAGGACATCCTACCTGTGCATGTACGAGCCGAGCGACATGCAGAACCAAGTACTACAATGAATGAAGAATGCATGAACGGGGAGTGTGGGCGTTCGTGCATTTTTGTTGATGGGGGAGGTCACGCGGAAGGAACTGTCATCGATTCAACTAATTAAATAAGACGCAATAATTGAGTAGCGTCTTGGTACGAGCGAATCGATCGCCGAATGAACCGCGACGACACACGTGGTGTATCCGCCCCCCGCCCCCCGTGCGTGCCTTTGGTGACGACGCCGTGCCCGGCGGCGCAGCTTCTGTGCGGCACGCAGAACTCCTGCAGCAGGAAGGTGCCCGGCTCGCACTCGCACACGCGGTCGTGCGTGGGGCTGCATTCCTTCGCGAGCCGCTGACCCTCCTTGCACCCCGGGCCGCAGTAGAGACACCGGTCCAGGGAGTTCCAGAACTGGGTGTAGTGGCGTGGCGGGCACCGAGTGCAACGTGCCTCCACGTGGGACGCGTCCTCCAGCTGCTTCTGCTGCCCCTCCACGGCCTTCGTGGAGAACGGCAGCGAGACGCGGTGGCCCGGGGGACACAGCCCGTACGGATGGGACGGAGAAGGCTTCTTCGCGTCGTCTGCCGACACCGTCGACGCCGCTGCCGCCCCCGTCGTCGCCACCAGCAGCATTGTCGCGATGACGGTGGTCATCGTCGTCGTCATTGTCGCTGGCGTAGCCCCGACGCGACCTGCGAAGGGGGGTGCGGGAGGAGCGCGCACGGTTGTGTTCAAGCGCAGGTGGGAGACGTGACGTCGTCGGTGCGTGGTCACGCGGCCGGTGAGAAATGGCCGTGGATTGGGGGGAGGTCTTCATTTCCGCGGAGGATCGAGCGTGGCTGACGACGACGACGACGACGTGGAGATCAGCAGGGGGTATCGCCGGCCATTCGATCAGCAGCGGCAGAGAGACGCAACGAGACGAAGGGAAAACAACCGAATTGAAGCGCGAGTTCACAGACGATGGGGATACACAACGACACAAATGATCCATTCTTCTAGAATCTTCTCGACACAATCGGATCGGCACTGCACCATAGACTCAACACTGCCCATAGACTCAACACTGCACCACAGACTCAACACTGTCATAGACTCACACAACACCATAGACTCAACACTGCACCATAGACTCAACACTGCCCATAGACTCAACACTGCACCATAGACTCAACACTGCCCATAGACTCAACACTGCACCATAGACTCAACACTGCACCATAGACTCAACACTGCACCATAGACTCAACACTGCACCATAGACTCAACACTGCACCATAGACTCAACACTGCACCATAAACTCAACATGCACCATAGACTCAACACTGCCCATAGACTCAACACTGCCCCATAGACTCAACACTGCCACCCATAGACTCAACACTGCCCCATAGACTCAACACTGCCACCCATAGACTCAACACTGCCCCATAGACTCAACACTGCCACCCATAGACTCAACACTGCCCATAGACTCAACACTGCCCATAGACTCAACACTGCACCACAGACTCAACACTGTCATAGACTCACACAACACCATAGACTCAACACTGCACCATAGACTCAACACTGCCCATATACTCAACACTGCACCATAGACTCAACACTGCCCATAGACTCAACACTGCACCATAGACTCAACACTGCACCATAGACTCAACACTGCACCATAGACTCAACACTGCACCATAGACTCAACACTGCACCATAGACTCAACACTGCACCATAGACTCAACACTGCACCATAGACTCAACACTGCCCCATAGACTCAACACTGCCACCATAGACTCAACACTGCCCCATAGACTCAACACTGCCACCCATAGACTCAACACTGCCCCATAGACTCAACACTGCCCCATAGACTCAACACTGCCACCCATAGACTCAACACTGCCCCATAGACTCAACACTGCCCCATAGACTCAACACTGCCACCCATAGACTCAACACTGCCCCATAGACTCAACACTGCCACCCATAGACTCAACACTGCCCATAGACTCAACACTGCCCCATAGACTCAACACTGCCACCCATAGACTCAACACTGCCCATAGACTCAACACTGCACCCATAGACTCAACACTGCCACCATAGACTCAACACTGCCCCATAGACTCAACACTGCCACCCATAGACTCAACACTGCCCATAGACTCAACACTGCCCCCTAGACTCAACACTGCCACCCATAGACTCAACACTGCCACCCATAGACTCAACACTGCCCCATAGACTCAACACTGCCACCCATAGACTCAACACTGCCCATAGACTCAACACTGCCCATAGACTCAACACTGCCACCCATAGACTCAACACTGCACCCATAGACTCAACACTGCCACCATAGACTCAACACTGCCCCATAGACTCAAACACTGCCCATAGACTCAACACTGCCCATAGACTCAACACTGCCACCCATAGACTCAACACTGCCCCATAGACTCAACACTGCCACCATAGACTCAACACTGCCCCATAGACTCAACACTGCCCATAGACTCAACACTACCCCATAGACTCAACACTGCCCCATAGACTCAACACTGCCCCATAGACTCAACACTGCCCCTAGACTCAACATTGCCCATAGACTCAACACTGCCACCATAGACTCAACACTGCCCCATAGACTCAACACTACCCCATAGACTCAACACTGCCCATAGACTCAACACTGCCACCCATAGACTCAACACTGCCCATAGACTCAACACTACCCCATAGACTCAACACTGCCCATAGACTCAACACTACCCCATAGACTCAACACTGCCCATAGACTCAACACTGCCCACAGACTCAACACTGCCACCCATAGACTCAACATGCCCATAGACTCAACACTACCCCATAGACTCAACACTGCCCATAGACTCAACACTGCCCCCATAGACTCACACTGCCCATAGACTCAACACTGCCCCATAGACTCAACACTGCCCATAGACTCAACATAGACTCAACACTGCCCATAGACTCAACACTGCCCATAGACTCAACACTACCCATAGACTCAACACTGCCCATAGACTCAACACTGCCCATAGACTCAACACTGCCCATAGACTCAACACTGCCCATAGACTCAACACTGCCCCATAGACTCAAACTGCACATTTATCAACAAAAATCCATGGCAACCGCCTTTACTCCCCCCCCCCCCTCAAATGGGGGCGGGCGAGGGGGAGGAGCCTAAAAGATTTGGCGGGAAAAAACTCCACGTCACGTCGCCTCAGCCTCAAAGCAGTAACTGGAGTGGTGTGTGAACATCGCCACTGGGGAGACAAAGGCGGCCGGGTAGTAGAGCTAGTAAGATCACGTGAGAAGTTTATACGTCAAAGACGTTATTATGTTATATATTTATATTTTAAAAAACAAGTTAATTTAATGCTTTGTAAATAAAAACAACAATTTGCTAAACCTTGGTCACAATATCTGGACTTGCCTTCATGTAAATCAACGCATAGATTTCTGTTGATATGATTGTGGTTGTACTTTATTAATCCGTAATCTCAAACATTACATACAATAAAGCAAGAAATGGTTAAAAAAAAAACAAAGTTAAAACAGAGCAATGCAATACAATACACTGTTAGACATTATTGTAAAAAAAAATAATTATAAAAAGTCCATCCCATGTGTTGGTGAATTTGTAAATGTTTTAGGCAGGAAATGGCAGGAAATTAGTTTTCAAATTTAGATATTTTTCTGGGGGGGAGGACCCCAGACACCTGGAAAATCTGGCCCCCCCAATGTTGTCTCCATGGCTACGGCCTTGCACTACACTATACACTACACTATACACTACACTATACACTACACTATACACTATACACTACACTATACACTACACTATACACTACTACACACTACACTATACACTACACTATATACTACACTATACACTACACTATACACTACTACACACTACACTATACACTACACTATACACTACACTATACACTACACTATACACTACACTACACTATACACTACACTATACACTACACTATACACTACACTATACACTACTACACACTACACTACTATACACTACTATACACTACACTATACACTACACTACACTATACACTACACTATACACTACACTATACACTACACTATACACTACTACACACTACACTATACACTACTACACACTACACTATACACTACTATACACTACACTATACACTACTACACTATACACTACACTATACACTACTACACACTACACTACACACTACACTATACACTACACTACACTATACACTACACTATACACTACACTATACACTACCTATGAAAGTCATCTTTCGTCTGTGTGTCTGTCTGCCTGTTTGCGCGGGTACCTTGTGACGTGTTTCACTTACAAACTGTGGGGTTTTACGCATCGAAAAAGTACACAGATACCACACCGTATGCCCCGCGACGGAAAAGCGCTATTCGTATTTCACATCTGTCAAGTTTAAAGTGGTTAAATTAACAATGTATTCCCTTTCATTAGCACAGGGTGGTTCCAGGCCACGCATCTGCGCATGCGCGAGAAAGTCGCCACCGCTGAGGTGAATTCTTCAGTGTGATCGGTGGGGCGGAATTATGAGGTGAATTCTTCAGTGTGATGTCCTCTTCTCCCCAATGTGTGCAGCACTTACTACTATAGGGTCGGTAGCAGAGGTCGCAACCGAGTACCCGATACCCGTACCCTACCCGATACCCGGCTACCCGTACGGGTACGGGTAGCCGTTTGCGACCCTGGTGCGGCCGGGTACGGGTAGACCGTGAGTCATTGGTGAGTAACTGTTTGTCACTCATTTCCCAACGTCTTGTCTCTTCTCACAATTCAAGTTCCTAGAATCAACCCACTGGCGCCTGCAACATGGCTTCATCCCAGAGGTCGCAATCAGGTACCCGATACCCGTACCCTACCCGTACCCGGCCGGGTACGGGTACGGGTACCCGTTTGCGACCTTGGTGCGACCGGGTACGGGTAAGGAATCAAAACCCGTTTGTGACCTCTGGTCGGTAGATACTACTATTATAGTCCTTGGATGATATTATTGTAAAGCGGGTGGGGGGATGGTGGTGGTGGGGGGGTAGCAGCCCAGCCTCAGCCTGCAAAGGTGCCACCTCGGCCAGCTGGGCAATCTAGGCGAGGCTAGGGGCTCTGCACGGGACTAAGCCTCACCACTACACGCTGTGAAGTTAGTACTATTATAGAGTTTGGATAGCTACTACTACAGCCGGTGGATAAACTATACACTACACTATACACTCCACAGTAGTGCCGTACTGCGTAATGAATTGGCACGGTCTGTTCCTGTTGTACTAAACCTTACTAAATGGCTGTGTCGGGTGGTGGCGGGTTTAACGACGGCGCAACATTTATATATTTATTATTTATCTATTTGGTTGTCTACGTTCATTGTCGTTGTTTTTCTTTGCATTCCCCCCGCCAGATTCGTCAAGCAAGAAATGGAAGATAATGCAGCGCTTGGGAAGCGGCCAGACTCTACGGAGAGCCTGCAAGACATCGATGCTGGTGAGCACGGTGGCACCACGGTGGATAGCAGACGTTGACTACCTCGCCTGGTATACAGGAGGTCGTGGGTTCGATCTCTCATCATCATCACGGTGGCTATGAGACGTTGACTACCTCGC